TCCTTATGCTGATTATATGTATCCCCACACACCCCAAGCCAATTAGTTTACATCACAATGAAAAGGGTAACTATTAGATCTTGAAAATCTACATTCAAGAGAAATACTGTCATCATAATCCATTGCACAGATCCAGAAGTGCATGGAATATCATCCTTTAAATTAGACTTACAAGCTAATAAATCTGAATTTTAAGGACTCCCATTATAACAACTTTCTAAAAATCAGCATCTACAAAGTCCCCTGCAAACCAAAAGGTTAAACTGAATAAATGTAAAAATAAATCAGAATATGCATGCAATTGAAACTAAGTGCACAGCAATAACAAGTAAATGACTAAATGAAGCCCCTGGATGAGCACCCTCCAACCCACACAAAAATACAATAAATTTTAGCAGTCTAGAAACACAACAATAAAAGAAAAAGGTGAGGTATTAATCTGTAATCAGAGGAAGTAGCAAAGCCGCGCATTGGTATGAAAGCAATAACAATAACTCACTTGTTGGTGATATAAAAGCTTCAAAACACTCCGGCATGTTGAGTGGCAACTCTGAGGGACCCCATTTATGTAACTGCAGTATAGCAGGACCCTCTCCATCAGCGCAATGACCCATCCTGTTCATAAGCAGAATCAAAGAAGCAGACCAAAATTATTTCTCATACCAAAACCTGGCAGTTCTAACTCCAGAAATGAATTTTAAGATTAAACACTGCCTCGCACAACCAGCCTCAAATATGCATTTGAATATGAATATACCCATCTAATTGGGAAAGAGACACATCCTTAAAATAATCATCGCAATAAAATTCATAAAATAGTGCAATTCGTTAAAATGCACAAGTTGCAATTGCCATTAAATAATCCGAAATTTAAAGTAATCGAACTCATAAGACAAAATTTTGGCCAAAAAATAAAACCTCTTAAGATAAGACAGTCACATTTCTGATCGCCTTTTCCTCTCAGTTCACAGGCTGAGAATTTTAATTTTTTTTTTTTTTTGTAAGGGGACAGCGTAGCACTTATAAAAAGAAAAAAAAAAAAAAAAGAAGAAATCTTAGATTCGAAATTATGGTTTTTGTATTCTCATAAAATTTCTTTAGTTACTAGATCAAGAGCTGGAGAACAATTTTAATTAAATTTCACTCACAAGCACTCACACCGGGGAAAAAAAGTTTTTTGTGCTTGAAGTTTTTAGTTACTATGTGGACTTAAGCTACACTATTTATTAGTAAATTAACAGCATTTACTGTAGCATTTAAAAATCACTCCATTTTTCCTTTTGATATCACCAAAGTTAATTAATATCACGCCCACGTATAAACATAGAAATTGAGAAAATTTGATAAAGAAATAAAAAAATGAAAAATGAATCAAACATTAAATTACATGATCAAAATGAGATGAAAAGATAAAATATCAAACATTAAAAACAAAAAAAGAAATTACAAAAAGTGCAATCAGGAAAACCCTTAAAAATCAAAGATTAGAAAGCAAAAATAATAAGATTAGATTGGAGAAGGAACCTGAAGACGTTAAAAGAGTTAATTTAATTGATTAACGGCATCTCCGCAAATCCCAAGAGCGTGAACTTTTCTCAGCAAAGATATTGATTCTTTTTCATTTGTTTGTTTTTTCTTTTTCTTAGAGGTTTTGAGAGAACTTTTTTTTTTTTTCGATGGAAGACGCTGGTACATTGAACTATGAAGGTTCGGGGTGTCCGTTTGCGGCATGGGAGAAAGAAGCTAATGGAAAGTGCCGCTTCGTATATTTTCTCTTTTTTAATTTTACAACGCGTGGTCTGAGAGCTGCTTTAGGAGTTGGGACAAATTTTGTTTACATGATTAATCTGGATTTTCTGGGGATTAAAGTAACTTGCAATTTTCTTTTTAATTTTAAAAAATATTTTTTATTCATAATATATGCTTCCTTCTATTTAAAAAAATACATAATGTATACTTCCTTCAATTTCAGAAAAAGGGAAAATAAAAGGGTACTTATATATAAAACTATTGTTAATGCATTTTTGAAATAATATTATTTCTCTAGAAATTATAGTAACAAATTTGGGTTGTATAACAATTGAATTTTTTTTCCTTTTCTTCGTAAATTTCACATGTTTAAAAATATAATAGAATTAGGACACCCATTATGTGGATGTTTTGAAAAAAAAAAATTGTATTTCAAAACAGTTTAACAAAAAAGTGTTAGATATAAATTTAAGACGAATAATCAAAAGAAAATGAACATTGTTGTATAAGGAAGAATAGTCTCAATTTAAATATTTTATCATTTTATTTAAATAAATTATTATATTTTTATTGTATTTAAATATATTTTTTATTTGTATCAAATAATATTTAATTTTTAATTTATATTCAAATAATCTCTTAACTTTAATTTTGTATTTAAATAATCCCTTAATATGAGCTAACTTTTGATTTGAAGGAAGGATTTAAAAAATTTGAAATAATTTAGTCGTTTTTTTTTAATATTTTGGCCAAAAATATTATGTTATTAAAACTGTGATGATTTTTAAAATAAATGAATAAGTTTTTTTAAAAAAATGTGTCTCTATAAAAAGTTTATAATGATATATATTTTTAATTTTATCTATATTACTTATAGATATAGATAAAATGTGTCTCTAACTTAAGCAAGTGTCATTAATCGAGAGAACCCAACTCACTTAAAAAAATAAATCAAATGAAATAAAATCACTATATCAAATAACAAAATATTAATGTTCATGTTTTATCATTTATTTAATATTTTTAAAAAATACCTACTATTCTTTAAAAAATTTACCTATGTTTTCTTTATTTTTTATATAATACATTTTAATAATTTTCACGCATTAACATAAATTCCTTTTTGTTATTTTAAAAAATAAATTGAAAAATTTTATATTTTATGACTTATCTGTACAAATCATATTGAATTATAATTAATTTTTCAAAAGAAAGAATTTAAGAAAAAATAAATAAATAAATAAAGAAGGAAAAAAACCTAAAATAAAAGAGAAAAATATAATGGTGTAGGTCCTTGTTTCATACTTTTTTTATTATTATATCCTTGTCCCTATCTTTCTTTTACAAAAGAAATATATAAAAACTTGATTATAACTCGTACGATGCAATGAATAATTTTATTTATTTAATATAAATATATATAAATTAGTTTTTTTAAATTATATTTAAATATTTAAAAATCATAATATATATAAAATTTATATATATTGACTTGTTATTAAAAAAGAAAATTTTTGAAAACATAAAAAAAAAATTATGTCTTTTTTTGGATATTTTTATTTACAATAATATTTATACACCTGTAAAATTTTATCAAATAAAAGAAAATTATGACTTTTCAAAAAATAAAAATATATATTATTGTATGATAAACTAAATAATAAAAGAAATATTAACACACTTTCACTTTAGTAATCTTGACTAAATTATCATACAAAATATGAAAAATATTAGAAAATATGTGACAAAAGGAAAATATTGAAAAAAATTATTTTTCATGAGAATGAAATTGTAATAATAATAAATATATATATTAGAAAAAAATTTATATAAAAAAAAACACAATGCAATAGTAATAGAATATACCTTAGAAAAAAGATACAAAAAAAAAAAGTGATATATAACACCTTATATTTGTAGTTTTAAATTTGTAAAAAAAATTCTTTAGTGGCAATTAGGATTAACTAGATAATTTTAAATTAATTTTTTAAATTTTAAAATGGATATAATAAGTGATAAAGATAATATTAAATTTTTTACATTTATTTGAAATATAAATTTGATAATTGGAGTTTAATGGATATAATCATTTTGATAATCTTATTATTTAAAGATTTAAGATAAAAATTTTATGAATTTTCAAAATTTTACATAAAATTGCTTGAATTTTTAATATCTTATGTAAATTTTTTAAAAAGATAATTTTTTGAATACAAAATTTTAAATCAAGATAAAAAAGATTGTTGAAAGATTCAGATAAACTTAATGTTTGTAATTTTTAAATATGTTTAAAAGATTTTGATAATTAAATAATTTTTTAAATAAAGTTATTTGATAAACAACTAAAATTATTTATTAAAAAATAAAATCCATATTTCATATTTTTAATTTTAGAATATATATATATATATTTACATTGATTTGATTTTAATTATAATTTGAATAATTTTGATATTTGAATAAATTTAAAATTATCTAATTTGTAATTAAAAGAAACTATTATCTAATTTGTAATTAAAAGAAACTATCTTATTTTTTAAAAAAACTATCCTATGTGTTATTTAAGAGAATTATCCATATAAATGCTTATGTGGTGAACTTGTTTATGTATGTTGTTATATAATATATAGATATATATATATATATATATATTAGATTTTTACTCAAGTTTAAATTAAAAAATATATAGAATTAAGAAAACATAAGAAAATAACAAAACAAAAGTCCGAATTAAACATTTTTAAAAATCTAAATCCATGAAAAATTAAAAATTATATATATGTAATTTTTAAAATTTTAAAATATCCAAATTTATTCAGAAACCTTTTTCTATTAATATTCTTCAAAATTATATTTTGTAGAAAAAAAATCTAAAATAAATAAAAGGTAAAGAAATTAATGAACCATGAAACATGAAAAAAAAAAAAAGAATAATAGAATAAATTTATATTTTCATAAACTTTTTTTCATTTTAAAAAGTATACATTCTTTTTCTTTTTTCCTGTATATTTATAAAAAAAGAATTCAAATTATACTTAGCTCAATTTTGTTTTAAATTTCATTGACTAAATATACAGGTTTAATAATTTTTTCTTACATCATTCTAAATTATATTATTCTTATTTTAATTATATATTCTTAAATTTTCTTAGAAAAGGAGGAGAATAAACAAAAGTGCAACAAAATAATTAACTTAAAAGATGCTACAAATTTTGTTATTTAAAGTGCTTCCATGAAGATATCTGAAGCCATGACACAACTAGCTAGTATTAAGAAACCATATAACAATAGACTGAAAGTGAACTGCTTGAAGATAAAACAAACGCAGAAGACACATAAGACAAACCAATGAGCACCCTCAAAATTTCTTCTAAAGATCTATCCATCTGATATTTTATTCTTTGCTTATTACAGAAAGATAGTTTATTTTTTTTCATTGCATGCGGCAGGATGCCTGTATTGGTGCTGGAGTAACCTGGGTTTTAACTACTAAAAGGGTTTTTGGTCACGACAATTCAAGTTGCCCCCATAGTTGATACCGAGTAAGTCACAGTATCTTTTATAGAAACCAATTCTGTCACCAGAGCTGGGATGAGGACCCCGGCCGCACGCGATCCCACCATTGATTATATTCGTGATGGCACCGTAGCCTGGGACGCGACCGGCTGCCCGGTCGGCAGCTGATGGTGTCCAGCGTCCGAGGATGACATTATGGCTCGACGGCTTGTTTCCTTGTGGAGTCATCCAAAACCAAATGGCTGTCTTGAAAGATATGGTTGCATCAGTAGCTACAAGCTCGGGATTGTTAATGAGATCTCTTCTAATGGCGCCATTATCACCTGCTTGCTTATAATTGTAGTTGCTGCACCGGTTATCAAACTTATAAAATTATGACACAATAAAACAAATTAATGTTCCTTTAGATTAAAAAAGTAAAAAGAAATAATATTTTATGTATTAATTAATTTGAATATAAATTTGTATTAATAATTGATTTGATGATTGATTTATTAGCTTACAATGTGTGACAATACAAGAGAGAGAGCTTGTTTTGACAATATTTTGATAATGCCTACAGTATTAACGTTTAAGAAAAGTATCTAATATCTATAATCAATTAACAATAAAACTTGTAATATAGCTCAATTGATTCATATACGACTACTTATAAGAATTAATATCCAATAAATCTGAATTTAACAATAAAAAAATTTGATTGCTTTATGTTAAGAACTTCTTTACACAAAAAAAAGAAAAATCGATTAACAATAGAAATTTTTCATATATATTCTAGAAGAGATCAACTTATAAAATAAAAAAAAAAATTTACACAATATAAATTGATTGCTTCTCTATCTATTTATTTATATATATTTACATATATATATATATATATTTATGTACTCAAATTATCTCAAACTTAATTCATCCAAGAGTAATAATTATATATATTAATCACTTTTAATAAAAAAATTAAGGAGAAACAATATATTAAAGATAACATATATATTTATTTGGAAACAATAAAATTTTGAATCTCAATTCATGGAATTAAAGATATGTACGCTTATTATTGAGTAAAACTAAAATGAAAATAATCGAAAATTAAGCGCTTACTGAGAAAGCTGGATGGGTCCTCGGCCATAGTATTTTTTACCAGAAGCGCACGGCCAGCCGGGGTCACAATATGCTGGCGGGTTGTCTTGCTCCTCAATGAAGTAATATCCCCATGCATAACGACCGTCAGGTGCATTATCCCATCCTCCTGCATGCACCAACTACGTACAATTAACTTATAAAGTTCCCTCAAAATAAAATACTAATTAATTAATCTTAACTATGAATTAAAGTTACTAATCAACCAGTTGTTTCATGAGAGGTTTGGCCAAAGAAAGCCGCGAGTTCCCTCTTTCGGGTAATAAGATCACCAGTTGTGCCGAAACCATCAAAAGATCGAGCGGCCGCAACGAAAGCATCGTAAGAATAGAATCGGTTGCGATGTTTAAGCATGGTTTCGTAAAGATCTCGACTGATTATTTCAGTAACATCTTGAGCAATTGCCGATCCTAGCAAGAATGCTAGAGTGAACAACACTGCGGCATACAATTTCATTTTGCCAGCTTAATTTGAGTATGGTTTCTTATTTAGAACTGAGGGTATTTAACTATATATACATATATATATATATATATATAGATGGATATATTGTTTCGATTTTCAAAAAAGGTTAGCGGACTTCTTTATTGGACCATTTCATATAAAGACAATTGCAGAAATTGCAATGGGTAATGATAGTTGGTGCACAAGATTAAACACCATAATGTTCTTTTGAAAGGTAAAAAAGATTAATGTTTAAAGAAAAAAAGAGCCATTAAACACCGTAATACACGCCCAGACAGATTGACAAATGACAATTCCAAGATCGAAAGAAGACTCACCCAGAAGTTCAAAGATATAGTCAAGAGCTAATAAATTGTGATTTGGGAAATTAGGAGGCTAAACAAATTAAATATGAATAAATTTTATTATGCTTATAATTTGTTAGTTTGTTTTTAGGATTTTTCAGGATCGGTTCAAGTTTGATAAAATTTTTATATTATGTTCAAATTTGGTTTGTTTAGTTATTAAAATATTGAAAATTAGTTTGAGATATGTTTGTTTAAACTAAACAAGTTTGTTTCTAAACATTAAACGAAATGTCCATGAATATATGAATGAATATGTTTACAAATATTTAAAAATGTGTTCATTAATAATAAACAAATCATAGTCAAATAAATTTAAACAAAATAAATTTATAAATTTATAACAAGCAAACAGATTTAATTTTATATCAGAAATATATATATATATATATGAAAATTAAAAATAGGGCTATTTGATTATTTTTTTCATTATCAATAATTAAATGGGTAATATTAGGATAAAATATGAGTGTGTGAGTGAGTGATGATAATGTGAGGTTAGTTAGGTTTAGGATAATATCACTACAAAAAAAAACGTTTATTATTGATGAATTTTTATTGATGAAAATTTTTTATCACTAATTATTGACAGAATACCGACAGAATTTTTAAAACACTTTTATCGATGAAATAAAATCCGTAAGTAATCTGTCGCTAAAAGTCTGGCATGAATTGTCTCCAATTTTATTGAAGGATTTACTTGTCTCTAAAAAAAATTCAAGGAAAAAAATTTTGTTGACATTATCGATGGAAATTCAGTCGATAAAACTGTTAGTAATAGTGTTTCAAATTTTTTTTATTACTGATGGAATTTTTGTCAGTAAAACCCTCGTTAAAATTAAAAATTTCAAAACCTCCCATTGTTAGCCCTCTCACTTGTCCTCAAAATTTCCTAATCCTTAATCCCCTTTCCCTTTCCCTCCCTTCTCCCATTCTCGCCCTCTCCCCCTCCCTCTTTAGTGCCACCTCGTCGCGGTGCTGCGACCTTGTCCCCTAGCTCTAGTCATTTTTTTAATGAGTTTATTTTTTATTTGTTTTTTGTCGAGTTTATTTGTTAAGTTTAGGGTTTAATTTTTTGTTATAAATTTGTTTGGGTTTTGGTTAGTAATGTGTTGAGTTTTTGTTAGTTAATTATTTGTTGAAATTTATTTCAGTTTTAGTTACTAATTTGTTGAGTTTTTGTTGGTTTTATATTTGTTGAAATTTTTTTAGATTTTGGTTATATATTTGTTAAAATTTGTTGGTGATATATTTTTATAAGATTCTTTGTTGAGTATTAATGTTAAGTATTGTTAATTTTTGTTTGGATTTATTTTTAGTATTGGTTTTAGGGGTTTTTTTTTATATGTTGAGTTATTTATTTTTTTATTTGTGAAAGTTTTGTTGACATTTGTTGAGTTTTGTTATATATTTATTAACTTTTAGATGTGTAAGATTTAGGGTTGCTTAATTTGTGTTCGATGTGTATTAATATATATATTTGTATGGATGTTTTATATTTAATATTTTTTAGATTTTAATAATAATTATAAAAATTAAAATTATTTATATTAATTTAATGTTATAATTTATATATTACTAATAGCTAATTCATTTGGAAGTTAGTTATATATTATTAAGATTTATATTCTTTTGAAACAGTTTATATATTTGATAGTTTAGTGAAATTTGTATATTACTAATTATTAAAATATTGTGGTTTTATTGTATTAATCAAACTTAATATAAATAAATTAAATTGTTCTATCTTATTCTTCTTTTCCATAATCTATCCATGAATGTGTGTTATAAAAGTGGTTTTAGGTAAATATATATTCTGTAATGAATATGATTTTTTATTCATTTTCATTATATTAACTTGTTTAATTTTTTCATTTCAACTACTTTGACCAGAGAAAATCTTTGCAAAATTGATGGAATTGCATTAAGAATGCCAAGATCAAAAGTAAAATTCTGTCATTACAACTAATAATATTTTTCTATGAATGTGTTGTCTTGTAGTATGTATGATAAATTTTCGTAAGCACTTTTATTATAAAAGGTTTACAATATGTTATACAAGTTGGGTCTCATGTAAAGAGTTAGAAGTAGGACAACCTTTTTCAATAAACAAAGATACTTTTAAAGTAGGAAAACATTCTTCAATAAATAGAGATACCATTGAACTGACAAAAGAAATGAGAATAGAAAATTTCTATAGTAAAATGGTTATGGATGATATATATCCTGATTTTGGGGTGGATGTGGTAAGAGAATTGGGTATGGATGCCAATGAGGCAAGCGAACCATTTGAAAAAGAGCCAAGTTTAGATATGGCAAGCTTTTATTTTTTTATTGAATCATGCAGATGATATGTTATGGTTAGGTTGTATGAAACACACAATTCTATTTGCTATGTCCTAACTTTGAAATTGTAAATCAGAGTTTAATATTAGTGAGTCATGTTTTGATCGTCTGTTGAGCATAGTGAAATATATGTTGCCAGTGGATGATATATTACTAGAAAACTTTTACAAAATGAAAAAAAAAAAAAAGATGACAAAACTAAGACTTCAAAGATGTGCAACATAGCCTTACTATAGGATATGATTTACATTTTCAAGTGTACCAAGCATAATAGAAAGAATAATCATGACTTATTCTCACCATAAAAGAAATTTCATGTTTGTGAAAATAATTGCATGTTGTTTTATAAAGAAGTAGCAAAAATGACATATTGTTCAATTTATGGTTATCTTCGATATATAAGGAATAAGTTTGGTAGTGAGATAAAAAAAATATTCCTTATAAAATCTTATGTTATATTCCACTAATACCTAGACTTCAAAGACTTTATATGTCAATTAAAACTACTGAATATATAACATGGCTTGCCTATAACCAAAGTCATGATGGTATGCTTCGACATCCTATTGATGGTGATTTTTGAAAACATTTCAATCACAATAATGAATCATTTGTACTTGATGTGAGAAATGTACGATTAGGATTATATGCTAATGGCTTTTATCCATTTGGTCCAAGTTCAAAACCATACTCTTATTGGTCAGCAATGATAGTAGTATACAATATGCCACAATGGTTGTGTATGAAACAAGAATATATCTTCTTAAATATGGTTATTCCAAGAAAGATAGTCTGGGTCAAAATATAGATTTTTTTTTTTTATACCTTTAATATATTAGTTACAAATATTATGGTCGAAGGTGTTGTGATATATGATGCTTATAAAAAATAAAATTTTCATTTGATGGCAGCTCTTTTATGGATAATTAATGATTTTCTTATATATGATATGTTGTCTAGTTGGAACACTCATGGAAACTTATCATGTCTTTATTAAATGGGACGAGAATAGTCATTTCAATTGACTTATGGTAGGAAGCCTTACTTTTTCAATTGTCATTGTCAGTTTTTACCTCTTGATCATTCTTTTCGAAGGTAAAGAGATAAATTTCAAAAAAAAGTTGAGCATGACTCCTTTATTATTCCACTATCAGGTGAAAAATTTTTGACTTAGTTAGATAGCTTTCTTAATATCACATTTAGCATGAAATGTAGTGATCAAAAGTTACATAGCTTTGTGGAAAGTCATAAGTAGGTGAAAAAAGTATATTTTGAGAGTTACCTTGTTGGTCAACCAATCTGATTTGGCATAATCTTGATGTTATGCATATTAAGCATAATGTCTTTGACAATGTATTTAACACAATGATGGATGTTAAGGGTAAAACTAAAGACAACATAAAGGCAAGATTAGATCTTAAAGTGTATTACAAGTGATCAGAGTTAGAATTGGTTGAATTGAATGGAAAAGTTTTCATGCTTAAAGTTTCATATACGTTAAGCAAAGAATAGAGAAGAGATGTTTGTGCATTTGTTAAATAATTAAAACTTCCTAATTGGTTTTGCATCTAACATTACTCGATGCGTAAACATAGCTTATTGTAAGTTTTATGGGATGAAAAATCATTATTGTCATGTCTTCATGCAACTATTACTCCTAATTACATTTCATGGTTTGGTACCTACTTTTATTTGGGATGCAATTACTAAGCTATTTTTTTTTAGATCTGTGTTCCACAAAAATATATGTAGATCATATAGAAGTGTTAGAAACAAAGATTGTAGAAATAATATGCAAATTAGAAAAGATTTTTCCTTTAGGTTTTGTTTGATTCTATGGAGCATTTGTCCTTTCATTTGCCCAGTCTTTGATTTTATGGACCTATTCAATATTGCTGGACGTATCCATTTAAAAGGTAATATATTTAAATTGTTAGACATTAACACTGATTAATTTAATTTTTCTTCAATAACATATGTGTTATGACATCATGATGAGTAGGTTTTTCCATCATATCAAGAAAAAATGCACCAATTGAGCATTTGTTGAAGTATTTATATGTGAGGTATATGTTATTGAAGAGATTTTCTCCTTTTACTTGTTCTATTTTGATCCAAATGTATTAACAAGATTGAATCGAGTTCAACGTAATGATGATGGGAGAGTCATGGATTTAGATAGACATTTTTCTAGTTTTAGTCATCCTAGCCAAGCATTTGGTCTATAAAATAAGTCTCGATGACTTTCAACGGATGAGCATAGCAAGGTGCACTTATATGTTTTGTTGAATTATAAAAAGA